TGATCGAAAACACCAAGCAGTCAAACACAAGCGGTCGGTGTGCGAGCTGCGGCGAAGCACACCTTTTCTATGGCAGTGAATGCAGTATTGGGCTGCTAAGTCTTGAGCCAAATGAATTATGTCGAAAGCGGACTGAAGAGCTACAGATAGATGTATGTACAAGAACAGGCGCTACACACGTATAGCGTAGACACGCCCAGGGGGACCTAGGACCCTACTAAACACAAAACAGACACAAATTTTCTTCGTGTCGAAGCTTACGATCTCTAAAGTACAAAAGGTTCGCAAAACGTTGCAAATGAATTCGAAAAGTTCTGCCTTCGCAGAACTCGACCGTAGATGCCATTCTGGCTCATCTAGGTTGCGTCAGATAATCTTTACAAATCTACGAGAGGCATATTTGCTGTATCGAACGTTCCGGAATGTCGGAAATCTTCTTTCTCAAGTCGAATCATCAAATTGAAGTCTAATCTATAAGGCCTTAAGTTCAAAAATATTTGCATTTTACCTGCATTTAGCTTTGTGGCATTTACCTGTAGTCGGCCGGAATATCGGCTTTTTCAGACTACTGCTCTGGCAATGCTCTAGCCGGTATATCGGCTTCTTAGAGCAGAGACTACCTACCAGTCCCTGTGGCCTCGGTACCCGGGGTTCCAAGATGACGAAGAGGAACCGGTGTACCACCATGAGCTTGACGCTCCCGAGGACCAGGGCTGGTGCCAGCCAGCTTGGCGAGCTTGTTTCTTCTGCCGAGATTGTTCCTTCAAACGTTCAAGCCGCTCGGCATTCTTCTCGCCACGCTTCTGGGCGGATTGCTGGCCACGAACTCTGATCTTGTGTCGGCTGGCAAGCGAAAAATTGCACTGAAATGGATGGTGGTATCCCAAATCGCTGCTCTTCAGACACAGATCCAGATGGTTCAGGTGCTTGAGGAATTCGTTGACCTTAATGGTAGTCTCTTTCTGGCGTGGAGGCTCCTCATATCCGACACGTCCACGATCATCCGGAATATCGGATGTCCTTGACCGCAACGTATGCATGTCCTTGCCGTAATTTAAGGCGATCTGCAACATGCAGTCGCAATCGGCATCCAGACCTTCCAAGGCAGCGAGCTGCTCACTGGCGAGGGTTGAGACCTCCCAGTTATAGGTGATGCGCTTACTCGGCTCGCGCTTCTTGTTCGCAGAAACAAGAATCTGGTCAAGGATGGTTAGGACTGCTCCGGTTCCTGGATCGGCATGTCGATCGCCCCGGAAGTTGCGGTTCGTGAACTGGTTAGCATCGCACGCGATGACGTCCACCTGGTCTGCCACGGCCGTGATCAAAATTTTCATGATGGCGTTCTTGCCGGCCGTAATACCTGACTGAAAGGCATGTGCATTGATGTGGAAAGTGCAAACTCGAAGTTCAGGCATGTGCATGGGCTTGCAATCATTCAAGCTCCCGGTCCGGAATGTCGGACACTCGTGGAACAATGCCTCTGCATCCACTGGTGAAGATTCAATGTATGTGGTGGACGCTTGTGCTACAGCTAAGGTGTCAGGGCAGACTGATGCCTCCATGTTAATTACTGGATCAGCGCCTTCTTCAAGGGCAACATGGAGGTTCTTTCGGACGCCACGGTCATCGGTGATGCCTCCATCTGTCTCTTCTTCGACCTTTCCCCAGATCACGCGGAATGTCGCGGCATGGGCTACCCAGGCTAACCGTTCGCCTTCAAGTTCAATCCTACGAATGAGCTCCAGCCTTGAAGTGCCAAGTGGATCACTGGAGCATATGGCTGCGATAGCGGGAGATTCGCCATCCGATGTAGCCAACACGCAAAGGCATTTGTATTGGTTAATGTTGGATCCTGATTAGTAAAGGGGGTCCCCCCCCCTCAAACAAATAGGGGTCCCTCTATAATAAACTATCACCAAAACAAATTTGGATTCCTGGTGAGGGATCTTTTGTAATTGATTGTAGTATTCATTACTGTATCCTTTTGCTTTGCAGCCTCAGATCTTCAGCTCAAGAGAAGCCCCAAGCTCTCAGCTTCTTCCTCAGCTTTCATGGCTTCCTTCTCAGATGAAGTCCTGGTGAGGGATCTTTTTGGTTCTGAGACCTCTTCTGTTGCTTGGTTGTGCTTAATCAAGTGATGTGTTTGGTTTGCTCAATCCCCTTGTTGCTTTTCTCAGCTTCTCAGGGGGAATGCCATTAGTAAGAACCTCAGGAGACCATCATCAACTACAGGAGGTTGCCTCAGGAGCCTGACATCTACTGCCCCAATGGGCATAGGCTGGTTCTCAGCAGGATTCCTTGGCAGAGTGGCTGCACCTCTTCTGGTTGAATCTGATTCTTTCGCTTTCCTGTTTGGGTTAGTTTGACTTGGCAAGGTAGTGGTAAAGTTTGTTGTTTTCAGGGCCATGGAAACTAAGGCAGGCATTGCCCAGGGGTGAATGGCTGGCCAGCGTGGGCGATTGCTCAGTAGTACAATGATGTGTTCCTCTCACTCTTATTGAAAAACTGTGTAATAGTTATATATATATAGTTTTATTTTTGCTTTAGACTAAGTGCATGTCAGTGGTGGGTGGGTGAAGTGGTCACCAATAGACAAGCTGAGGCTTTGCGCTCAGTTGCCTTGGGCTGACCTGGTGGCTCAGGATGGGAAGGGCCACCTCACAGTGTCTCAGTTCAAGGGCAAGAGGGGCTTCATGGCTTCTAAGGGCAAAGGCTCTATGCCTCAGGGCAGTGCTCAGCCAAGTGCTCAGCCAAGTGCTCAGGAGCTACCTCCTCCTCCTCCTCCCATGTGCCACTCAGTTCTTCTTTCAGGGCTCCTCAGATCACACTGAGCTTGAGGAGTTCATCAAGAAGACTATTTTGGACATCTCAGAGGCTGCTGAGCCAGCAGCCATCACTGAGATCACTGAGCGCATCAACAAGTGGGGGGGGAAGTTGGAGGGCATTGGAGCTGATGCCATGGAGTATGAGAGGAAGCTCCTCCAGGCTCAGGAAAAACTCAGGACTGAGTGCGAACTCCTGAGAGAGGCTGATTTGCAGCTGAAAGATTTGAGGCAGGTGGCCTCAGAGAAGGTCACTGAGCTGGAACAATCTCAGTCTGCACTTGCCCAGAAAAGGACTCAGCAGCTGGCCAAGCAGCTTGCTGAGGCAGGGCTTTCTCAGTACTCTGCTGCTGAGCTTGAGAGCCACCTCAGCCAAAGGCACCTCCTCCTGAGCTGGAGCCTAAGAACAAGGCCCAGAAGCTTGCT